CTTAAAGCCCTCCCCCTAGGGGAAAAATTGTCACATGTTCACGTGAGAAGTGGACCTTGATGTAAGTTTGTGAATGAAGACCACGTGAAAGTGATTGAGTGACCAATCAAATTAAGTCAAGCAACTGTCTACAGCCATGGCCATGTGATTCCTGCGGAGTTTGTAGTAAACAGAGTACAAGGTTCGTTATGTCATACTATTCAGGATTAGTTACCTAAATACTCGGGGTGAGAAGAAAACGAACCTTTTTCACTGCGAGATCCATCCAGATATGAGTAAAGGAAGATCCCCGTACGTCCATTTAGTGGCTGGAGGGTATGTTAGTTTGAAAAGAGATGTGTTTTCCTTTATTTGATCGTTTTAAATACACATGCCATAACATCCCGCCAACCGTTGTTTTGCTTGAACGAATCCGCAATTTTGTGTGAGTGAATTCGTGCCTCACAGAGTGTGCGATTTTCCATCTCTCCGTGAAAGTAAGCCATGTGTTATCGAGAAATGTAGTACTGTGAAGTAAGAGTCTAAGATTCCTTACGAAAATATGAGAAATTGGGAAACGTGTGCCTATGATTACACAAGCGCTTTTAAAGTATTGTGTCTGATACAATGGAGCTTTTTTTTTTAACGCATCCGTTAATGTTATATGTTTGATGTTAGTAGAAATCCACCTTAAATAACGCTTCCCCTTGATAAGTCCCCGTCACTTCATCCATCATGGGTGAATTTCCGAATGTAAACTCTATTTTAACCTGCGATACTGTTGTTGAAGGGTGCGTTCCTACTAGTGGATACTACTAGTATACTACTTCTGAAAGTGCAAGAAAAAACAAGCTTAACTAATTTTGCTTTTTACTCTTTTCAGTATTGGAGGCACCGTCGGTGCTACATTGACGTGTCCTCTGGAGGTCGTAAAGACGAGATTGCAGGTACGATTATCCAAAACTATCAAAAACTCCTATAAGACATAAAATATATGTCAAAGCTTTTTTAACCAAGAGTCACATTCGCCTGTTTGCAATATTTATTTTGCAATTTGTTTATGAATTTTCATAGCCTGCTTTCCATGCTATCTTCAATTCTTGCGAAAGCGCGCTATTGTGAATGGGACGAAATCGAGCTCACATTACCATTTGAAGTAATAACTTGTCTGGATATGATTGAAACTCTTTTGCAATCAAAGTTGTTAAGTTTGTTCTCAAGCAGACCTTCTCAAAGTAAAATTACTGGCTACCTTCTTTACTTTGTGGGATTGCATTACTATCATGGGTGCGAGTCTGACTCGGATGACAAGCACGTTTTTTGGGACTGACCTGGTTTACGCATTTTAAGAATGACTTGAGTCGTGACTTGTTAAGAATCCTGTCCTATGTAGAGTCCTTTTCACTGGGCTGGTTTGGTTTTCAGAATGTTACCTTGCCACTTTTCCCTCTTTCAGAATTTCAATTTGTTACTGTGAGAAAAAAGGCAAGTGGGCCATTAGGCTGCAATAGGTCACGTTTTTAACACCCAAGGCTGGTGTCAAAGCCCTGTCTGTGTGTTAGTTGAGGTAGCCAAGCTTTAACTTCCATACATGAATAAATTTGGTTGACCTGAATATCAGCTCTGTGACTGTTCCGATGTAAAGTATACACAAAATATAATATCTCAAGTAGGCAACATTGATTTCTGGTCTGTTTATGCAATAGGTCACGTTTTTAACACCCAAGGCTGGTGTTAAAGCCCTGTCTGTGTGTTAGTTGGGGAAGCCAAGCTTTAACTTCCATACATGAATAAATTTGGTTGACCTGAATATCAGCTCTGTGACTGTTCCGATGTAAATTATACACAAAATATAGTATCTCGAGTATGCAGCCTTGATTTCTGGTCTGTTTAGAAGAGGCCTTGAGATTGCAGCTATAAAACCTAACAGAAACTTTTAATGACAAACTGTGTGCTACAAATGACGTGCTGTTACTAGTCTCATCATTGAGAACAGTCTTTCTTGTTCAGTCCTCAGTTCCAACTTTTAGACATGTTCTGTACCCATCAGCAACCGGTCCTGGTGGTATTTGGAGTATTCCAGTGGAGATCAGTTACTCAAGACCTGTTGGTATTCTGTCCTGTTTAAAACATATCACCCAAACAGAAGGTTTGGCAGCCCTGTTTAAGGGCCTTGGGCCTACATTAGTGGGAGTAGCTCCTTCTAGGGCATTGTACTTCACAGTGTATGCTAAAGCTAAACAAGTGCTCAACAGAAGCGGCTTTGTGTTTCCAGAAAGCAAACTTGTACATATTGGATCTGCTTGTTCGGCAGGTATGTTCTAACAAAATTTCGTAAAGTAGTATCTTGTTAGGCTTGGGTCTTTCCTCTCATGGCATGGAAAACTTTGTCAACTGAAGTATAAGGCTTTACAGTTGATAAATGCATTATCCATTGTGCAGCATTTGATTTTATCAAAAGTTTTATTCTATTTCTTTTTTGAAAATGCTGTTTGTACTTGCATTATACTAAGTGACTTAATCCTTTCTTTCTATACAGGGATTGTGACCTCAACTTTAACAAGTCCAATCTGGGTCATCAAGACAAGACTACAATTAGACAATAGGTAAAAAACTGAATTATATTTTCAAACAGGTCCCACTCATTGTAAGGGGAAATAAGGAGCATGCATGCTGTACGCAGTGATTTTGAAAATTATAATTCTTCCTTGGAATCTTACTAGTAAAATAAGGAGCTGGAGCAGGTTGTTAAAAGCTGGTTTACGATAACCCAGGGTTGGTGTGGAATTTGATTTCAGATCTAAAAGAAAATTCATTAAAAGTCCGTTTGAGCACAATTTGATGATTGAATGCTCTAAAATGAATTAAGAAAAGTATCCCAAAACAGCTTTTTAACAGAGAAAAATAGAAACCTGGATTAAAATAAAACCCTGGGCCAGGTTGTTTGAAGCTGGGTTAAGATAACCCAGGGTTAGTGTAAAATCTGATTTCAGGTCTGAAAGCTTAAAAAAAATTCAGTTGAATTTCTTTTTGTTTAGAGTATGACTACTTGATGCCCTAAAAAGTACACAGAAAATTAATCCAAAAGGACTTTTGAATAAAGGAATAAAGAAACCCAGATTACAATTTAACCTTGGGTCAGTGCTAATCAGCCTTTGGTCAACTGAGTCCTGGGCTTCATTGTAATTTGTTTGTTTCTATTTCAGGGCTTCCAAGGGTCAAGTATTGAAACTTATCCAGAATATATGGAAGGCTGATGGAATAAAAGGTTTCTATAGAGGACTCACTGCAACTTATGTTGGTGTTACAGAAACTGTTATTCACTTTGTAATTTATGAACACATTAAAGCTGAAGTACAAAGACATCGTTTTAAATTGAGAGGCACTCATGACAAGAACATAGTGGACTTTTTGCAATTTATGATGGCTGCTGCAATGTCAAAGTGCATTGCATCTGTTATAGCATATCCACATGAGGTTATCAGAACTCGACTTCGACAGAAAGAAATAGATGGAAAAAGAAGATATCACTCATTCTTCCAGGCTTTCAGGAAAATACTGCGAGAGGAAGGAAGAGTAGGACTTTATGGTGGACTTGGAACTCACCTTCTTCGTCAAGTTCCAAACACTGCATTAATGTTTCTGACTTATGAGGCTGTCGTAAATTTTTTCTCTAAAGAAGATTCTTTATAAATGGTTATTTATTGTTTGATATTCTGGTTAAGTTAGGTTAATTTATTAATTCTAAGAGCACTCAGTAAAGAGGGGCAAAAAAATCAAGGAAAGTGTGGTTTTAATTTTTCTTGTAAACTGGGTTGCCAACAGTTAATGCCTATTCTTACTGCTGTTCTAAAACCTATGTAGTTATTGTACATGTAGTTATTGTACAGAATACAGGTGGAATAATGAATCTGTACAATCTTGAGTGACTTGTTTACTATAATTTCGGCAAATGAATTTGATTGCACAAGTATTTTATGAGTTTCAAAGCAATCCATTTAATAAGTAGACTGAAAGTTTACTTTAAAAAATTGTAAATACTGATTTTATACATTTGTAAAGAAGAGACTACCTGAATATGTTTGTTTTACTGAAAATAATTTTATCTTTTCAAAGTCATATTTAAAATTGTAACTGTTGACAAATAAGAGCAAACAAACCTATGAACTAACTTAAATAAAGGTCAACCAACTTCAATGGAATCTCTCTTTTATTGCTAGTCGTAAGATAGTGACATGAATCTCTAGGTTAATCTCAAGCCATCCAATTTGTTTGGTGTTCAAGTGCCTGGCAAATGTCTTAATATCTTCTTTTTCTCATCAATGTTTACTCCAAATGGGGATTCTAAGCATAACTGTTTTTGAGATGTAAATAGCAAGGGCAAGTTTAAAGTTCTCCATTCTTGGTGCTTATTGCACTGGTTTTAGAACGTGAAAATGATGACCTCACATTAGATTTACAGGTGTCAAAGTGTACCAGGAGCAGTGTCCTAAGTCCTTATATGACTGCAAAGGATACCAACTGTACCCCTGAATTCATTTGTGAAGTAATGGAGTTATTTCCCCATGGGAATTGAAAATAAAATCAGAATATTCCTAAACACAAAGGCACGAAGACCAATTTGATACCAGAACTAGAAACTTATAGCTAAATGAAATGGTTATGTGGTCATGGTTAGTGTGATCAATGGGATATCACAGTTATCTGGGCAATGGGTCTATTTTACTCCTACACAGTCTACTTGTCTGATATCTTACTTGGACAAAGAGGCACAGCGTTAAGGTGAAAGAAGTTAACTACGTGCACAAGCCAATTACATTGAGACACTGCATCTGAGAAAACATGGGGCTCCCTCAGGCATGTAAAAGGATGCTGGAATGATGTCACTTATCAGGCTTAATCCACACCATTTAAGATAATTCTGACACTTCTTGAAAAGTTCAAGTCAAACCCAACATTATACAGCAGAGTTAAACCATGAACTTGTATCAATAGGGTCTGAATGACAAACATTGAAAACATACAATATAAGTATCACTTTATTTAACAAACATGCCAAAAGCCTTCTGTTGCAGTTCTAGAAAAATTTGGAAGATAACATCTGCAACTATCTTGAATGACCCAAGTAAGACCTATCCCTAAATTTACAGCAGCCAACACCAAGAATATAGAATTGTGAACAAGCTTGTCATTTTTTTTGACAAAGTCATCTACTGTCTATCCACTTTGAGGCAAGCCCACACTAGGTTTCAACTCCCACGATAGGTTGAGTAAGAGAATGGACTGAGAAGAAGAGGAACATGATAATGCTGGGATGGGTCGCTGACAAGAAACACGATCTGAAAAAGAATAGTAACAAATTGACAATATTACACCACCATAGGACAAACTTGAGCAGATCATTTATTTGCTGAGGTTATTGATGCCTGTGATTTGAAATTAAACTTTTACTAAATACTTGCTTTATTTTTAAAACACCCATAACAGACCAAACTGCTCTCCACTCAGTTCAACTACCATAATGATTATGAAGCTGAATGCAAGTCATTGTCTCACAAGACACTGACATTCCTTGATATTTCAGGTAATTTTTCTGCATCAACTTAGGGAAGCAATTTGCCATGTTTGGTGGAAGAGCTTATGTACAACTAATAAGCAGAAATCTCTCTGCAGCACAACCAACTGAAACAGTATTTACTTCAGCAGACTCTCATTTTTTGGCAGTCATTTGCAGTTCATGTGGTGGGTTCTTGGCTAATGAATGGGGAGGAAAAATTACATCCAATAATAATAAGTATTTTTTAAATATGCAAACTTCCCCCCAAAAATCTTCCATTGGATTTTCCTCTACAATTAGCTCTCCCACATCTTGCAAAAACACCCTTGCAGTCTGACCTGGAATCAAGTTAAGACTTTAAACTTGAAGTATGCTAGACCTTGTAACCTATCTCAGGTTGCTTTATGGGTTGTAACTATAGTACCTCTAGATAAAGGGAATAAGTATAGGTTGTGCAATGCCTTGAATCAGCGTTGATGTTAAATTTTTTAAATGACTATATTTTAAACTTTCATTACCTCTACATATGGATAGAAAAATGAAGAAACCCCAATGTCCTTGAAGTATGCCTCTGTCTCAAATCTGATCATGTATTTGCCAGGTATAAACTGTTCTTGATTTAGTAAGTTGGCTACTCTACCATCAGCATTAGTTACCCTAAAAGAAATGGATGAAATAAAATAAAACATCCCAAGTTAGTTTACTTGCAAAATGGAAGTTAAAAAGAAAACAAAAAATGGTTCATAACTATTTCACTCACTTTAGGTATGTACAGCTATATCTTGATGGGTCTAATCTTTAGTTGATGTCTAAGAGTGCATTTTAATTGATTGTTGTAAAACCCAATCTAATTTAATACTAATTACAAGGTTAACCAGAACAAAAGAAAATAATAAAAAGTGCAATTGAAAACTCAAAGCAAAAACAAGCAAGTGTGCAAAAGACAAGTAACCAAGTGCTGATTAGACTTTGAGTTGTGCATCTGATGGCTGTGAGGGCAATGCAAGTTTCTAAAACAAAATCAATTTAATATTAGTTTCAGCTCTAAATTGAACAACTGAACTAAGTCTGTCCTACCCTGAGGCAATATGTTTCCACATTCTACTGTCAGGACGCATTTCTTCAAAGTACAACTGAATCGGCAAGTTCTTAGCTGGTGAGCCTCTAGCTGTGTCCAGCACGTGAGTGGTCAGAGGACTTCCAGTCATTGGACTACTATCACTGGTGGGATGCTGTCAGACACAGAAACAACCAGTCATCTACATATCACTTTCAAAATAGGTTGCAAGGAATTCAAGTAAAAAGTATGTGTAGCTAAGTCAAGGCCAGATTGAAAAAAAAAAAAAGCAACTTTGGGAAGCTAACTAATTTGGTCTTACCAACATGTTTAAAAAGTACCCACATTTTAAATGTTAATATTCACTTTAAATTGCAATATGATTTTGGGGGAAAGATGTTTTTTGTCTTGTCATGAGTATGTGACAAAGAAAAAATTTTGAGTCCCCATGAGGAATTCAACCTCAGACCTTTGGATTTCATGCTTTGATGCTCTACCACTGAGCCACAAAGACTCTATGGTGAGCGAGGTCTTTTGTGAAGTTCATGACATGCATCCTACATACTGCTAGAATCATTAATGTCAATAGCATCATTTTATTTGCATTTGTATGTTTGTGATTCTCACTTATGCTGCTGTTAACATAAAAGTATATGTTTTAAAGTTCAGAATACAACTCAGAGACCCCCCTTTGTAAGGCTGTGGCTTAAGATATTACCCATTTGTAACCTTCCATACACTGAAGTAAGAGCCCAGTAATGGTTTGTATTACTGACAGAGGAAGAGTGTCTTTTGTAGCCACTTACCCCCGTGACTGACAATGTTGATGATGAGGCCATTGCTGGCACAGTTTGACAATAAACAACTCTTGAATTTGCAAGCCCTGAGTGGTTACTTCCAGCACGGGTTACTGATCCATGAGATAAACTTAGAGAAGTCTTAAGTGATGGCTGGTGAGGATTGCGCAGGTTATTTTGGGAAGCTGCATGAAGCTGAGAAAATCTGTAAGCAACAAAAGGACTATGGAGACTTCTGTGACTGGATTGGTATGGAAGGCCAAGAACAGGTTCTGTTGGACTGGTTGGACTTCTATCTCTTTGCTTTTCACTATGATCAATCCCATTACTCTCCTGAGGAGAACTTCTGGTCTTGCCACTGTGGTGTTGAGGATGAGAGTGATTGCCTGGAACCATAATCTTTGTGAGTTGAGCCTGTTCTCTATTGGACTCTGCATTAAATGGTGGGGTTCCTACAGTGGTTCTTGGGGATGTTGTCCCCTCTGAACTTGAGATATACTTTCCAGTAACAGGCACCATGGTTGGGCGTTCATCACAAGGATCTCTTGGGAGAATATGTTGAAATCTCTGGGAGCTGGGTATGGATACTAAAGTAGTGATGAGAGGGTAGTCTTCAACCAAGCTGTTGAGAATTGCCACATAAGTACCTCTGATACAATTATTTGTGTAAATCCTGGATAACCGTGCAAGCTTGGACATATTTGTCATCATCTCCCCCAAGGAATTATGCCCAACTGCGGCATTTTCATACCAGATGGGGTCATCTTCGCAAGCATGATGTTTGAAGGATGCTTTGGGCCTTTGCCACAGGTACAAGTTCATCGGGTTCAGCTTCGACAAGTACTTCAGAAATGACGCCACCGGACATCTCGGATTTCCTGAAGAAGGGTGTAGTAAAAGCAATATTTCTGTTTCCTTCATTTTAAACTCAATATATCAACATACAAGAAGTATTCTCCTAACAAGCACCTCCAAGAGTTTTGCATAATATCAGAGACAATACATATATTCTAGGTCTCATAAGCTTATGCTTCATTGTGTAAAATTATCAGTTGCATGAAAATCAGATGAAAAAGCACTCTACACTATGAAGGCCCAAAACCTTGATCACCAACTTGTGATTATGGATGACAGATTAAATAACTCCAATTACCAGACACAAATCATGCTCCCTCACATCACAGTGTACCACTATTGAACAGCTTTCAAGGGATCTTTTTTAGAAGGGGGGGGAGGGTGGAGGGAAAAATCCACAGTACTTCGGTCACCGTTTACAAAACAACAAGGCTTTCTCTCTAATTCACCTAAACCCTTTGGCAAATTTGGTTTCTTCAAGCTTGTTTTGTATTTTATATTGTTACTATGTGTGTAGTGAATTTGAGTTTGAAGTGTTTTGAACTAGACTCAAAATCCTTTGAAAATATCAGACCATTCTTTTTGTCAGAACAAAACTTTCCTTATGCAACCCGACATAAATAGCCACAATTCCTTCCCTTTTTGCCTTTCACCAAACGGTGAAAAGCGTTTGGAGTCACAAAACTTTGACTAGTCAGGTATACCATTTTGGAGGTTAACTTTGTGTCACTTTCTCAGACGCAACCCAGTAAAATATAAAAGCTTACACAAACTTCACTTGGAGAGGCAAACGTCAATTAACGTGGAAAATTTCAATATAGATGTGTTTGAGAGAACTTGTTCTAACGGCAAGAAAAAACTTGTTTCAACGCCGAACTGCATTTAAACACTATTCGCATTAGAGATATTTGCTGGTAAAACTTCGCTTTTAAACAACAACCTTGTATGCTGTTAGGAAATTGTTGGCCTTGCAAGGCCATGCACTTTCTCTTCAAAATTTTTTTTACTGATATCGTTTTCAAGGTCCCACAACAAGATTTGCTTCGACCGACGAAAAGCTTTTATGAGGTTTTGAATACTCTCGCTTGTTTTCTGACAAAAAGCTTACCTGGTTTTTCATTCATTCGAGGACATTTTCCATCGGTAAAAACGTTTTCACAATGCGCCGGATTAGGATAAATATACTTCAAGCCAGTAGAAGAATCATAGCCCACGAGAAACGTGTCTCGGGTTTGTTCCCTGACGTTACTGCGATTCCGTTTTCCAGGCAAATACATCAGCAGATCAAAGAACACTTTCCTTTGCAAGCCATCGGCGCTGAATGGCGACAAGACATCACTTAGATAAAGTTTCTTTAAGTCATCTGGGCCAATGTCGGAACGATTTACCTCGCCTTTGCCTTGCTTTTTAAGCTTCTCCACCTGCGCTTTAAAAATTTTGTTTGATTCGGTAAACTCGGGGTCGTTTTTTATGTCTATATTGCTCTGTTGTGACTGTAAGTACCGCAGGATACCAAACCGTATACTTCCCAGAGCAGAGGACTTGTAGTAATCGCCGTTCTTTTTGCGGGCTTCAACGTAAAATTTACGCAAAAGATCATTCAACGCTGCCTTATCCAAGTTCTCGAAGTTCACATCCATACTTTTTTCCTCCATGTAGTCGCGGAGAATTTTCACAGCATTTTTTGTAGACCTCCATGTATTTTCACTGCAAGAGCGATGCTCCAACAATCTCTGAATGTCTTCCTCTGAACTTTCACCAAAACGCGGGAGCGAGTTTTCGTCTGTTGGACTTCCAACCGAGCTTTCTTCACTGTCACCGTTATTTTCGGCGTTTTCCATAGGTTCTACTTTCACTTCGGGAAGGAGAACAACTGAGCTTGTTTCTTCGTCCATTATCGCGCGGAGATTGAAGTTGTCGCGTATTCGCGCTGGTAAGACTTCAACACGATTTGATGCCGGGCAATATATAGTGATGTCACACACTCACCAGAAAGCGTAGACACTTATGATGGTTATTTATAACGCACAAACCCCTATCCACCGCTATAACATGATTATCCACCAGAGAAAAAGATGCGGATGACTAAGGCAAACCTGAAACTGTTTTCCACCTTCATAACGGCAAAAACATTTTCCGATTCTTTGGCATGGTTTACTGTAAAGGTTTGGTAACAACTGGTCCAATATAACTTAATCTTCATTCTTCACTTGAAGAGACTTATTTCTGTGGTGCCAAAAAGCTTGCATCATATACCTGCTCTTTTTTAAAGGTCGAGTGCAAAGTCATCGATATTAGGCCCTTTCCGGAGAATATCTCCAGTATGGTTGACTTGTGATATCATCACTTGATGACCTCGAATAAAATTCGGTGTCAGTTCAAACGCAGACACGGGTCTAAAAAAACCTTTTCCCTGGCAGCCATCTTAACAGCTCTCTCTCACATCCAGACCATTATAACCAACGTTTTTAAAGACAATTGCGAGGTAATTTTCCAAAAGATAACACTCAGTTAATATTGATTACTTTTCGTCATATCTATTATGACTCCAAGTTATATTACCACACAGAGAACTGTCGTATCATATCTTTATGTAATTAATCGAAAAATAGACAAGCGGCTATGAACAGTATGTTGACATGTATAACAATTAACAATATGGTTGAACTTTTTTTAAGAAAAGATATTGGCCACGCAAAAAGTAAACGTCAGTTTTCACAATTTGGACAATATATTAAACGAGACGCTCGAACAAAAACTAAAATTAAATAAAAATATAGTTTTCAATAGCCCCCTTAAATGCCAGGCATACGTAAACAGTTGATTTCACGTCAAAACACGAAAGCTGTCAATCCTTAATATCTTTAAAGTTCAGTTTCCGCTTGATACGACATGACACTTTTGCCAGCCATTCGACAAATACGGCTTTTTAACGTTCGGACAAGGGGAGGTCAAATAATACTATTGTCCAAAAAGCAATTACGGGCTAATACAGCGACGATGCGTTTCAGAGAAATATTACTTTCCGAGTGCACAGGTCAAGATATTGCCTTTAGAAAATGCTGCTATTTATAATAAAAATACAACTATAAGAAAAAAGCTTGAAGCGTAACCGCATCAATGACGATTCCTCTTTCGATTCAACCGTACCAGTAGAATCAGTTCTGTATGTTTTAAATTTGCAAAGCACCGTGACAGTGTAGATTTATATATGGGCAGTTGTTTCGAAACATTTACTGATCGCTCCGAGTGGTTTGTGCACGCCCTCGAAAAACGTTTTAAAATGATGCCATAATGTAGGCGCCTACTTATTACAAACTAAATCCGATAAAAGCCAATACTGGAACAACGTTTTTAAATATCATTGCTTCATGCATAGAGTAAATTATTCATGCATTTACCATATCACTCGTATATTTTTACTCCCGGCTAAAAACAGAGCTCCACAATATTTCCACAGAGACTGAAGATCTAGACATTGTGAACTCAATCGAGTGGAAATTATCAGTATTAGTTAAAAAAATGCTTTTTGTGGTATCATGTAAGATTACGTGTAAACCTTTTGAAATACCGTCATCCTATAGTTTGACGAGTATATCATGAGTTTAAATCGTACCCGATGACTCTCAACAAAGAGTGGAGAAAGTTTTTTTTTTCTTTTAATACGGCAGGAGAAAAAAGTGTGGGTGTTTTTAATTTCTCTCTTTTTTTTCGGTCACCGATTATTTTGATGTTCGTGTTTTGCAATACTATAAATAGAATTTTACTAAATTAGATTGATTGATGTGGGCGATTTCATTTTCGCGGTTTTTAAGTAAAGCTTTCTAATGGGATCACATTGCACTCATAGTTACCTGGAATTGCAACAACCGGGAACAACTCTTCAGTTTGAAAGATAACCCTTAAAAAAGTGAGGTTCTTGAAAAGTTTCTGTCGTGTCACTTCTAATATCATGTTCTAGTGAAATGTTTTTACCAAAACTGCAGTGTAATGCAATTCCTCGAGTTAACTTAATTATCCTCGAGTCCAGTTTACTTTCTAAAAACATAGATACTATAGCAGTAATCTATGTTATCCCAACCGCAAGTATTTACGTCCCTCTAAATTGAACTAATCTATCGACATAAAAAAAAGATAACATCACCGCTTTTTACCAACAAGAGCCCAATATAGAAAAATGAAGAAATTATTCGGATGCTTACCAAATCGCCTTACGTTTTTGTTCCGCTATATATAGTTATTTCCTATTTCGCAGACTTGACTTTCGGAAACAAGCTTCTTCAACGCTGAGTGACCTCAAACGCCCAATAAACAGGAAAATTTCTCGCATATTTTTACTACACATTGACACAAATTGGTGAGAGCGCTGGGAGAGAAAAGTGTGTCTTGACGATTCAAATAATTCATAAAATAAAAGCATACTTGAAAAAAACAGTTCACGGCTGGTACGACAAAGCAATTCGTCTCGGCTACAACTCTGAGCATTTTAAAGCGAACTTTTTATGCATTCCGTTCGGAAAATCAAACAGTGGCAATCTACTTTCGCAGACAGATTTCCAACCACGCTTTCATAGGCTAAATTTATCAGAATTTTAGGTTCCACTTGGAAGCGCTACTCATATCTGCTTCTACAACACCAGTTGTGTTGCATAATCCGTCTAATGGAATATTCGAGATAGTTACGAAAGTCACGAACAACTTCTTCTTCTGACCTGATTGGAAGTTCTTCCCTCTACTTTTTGTACTTTCCTCAAAGATCGTGAAAAAGAATTTGGTGTTATACCAAAATGAAACCCTCTAACTGATAGTTTGTCAATTCTAGTCATGTTTTTGCTGGATGTGTTGGTATTTAATGGAGAAGCTGCAAGTTTATCACCTTTTGCCTTTACTGTCGAAAGGAGAAAATTATAGCATCTTGAGCATTTCATTTAAGCTCTATAAATCAGAATAATGTGCCGAGGAAAATCTGAGCAACTCGTGCTAAAAGAAAGCTGCAGTTTAGTTCAATATAAGGTTAGTTTCATTAGTAGCACTGCAGCACGAGGGGCCTGAAAGGGTCTAGCACTAGTGCCAGACCCCTTGCAGACCTCTTACCGCACACCTTGCTTCCAAAAGTGAGTGCCTGCTCACAGTCTAATAGGCCATTTCCAAATTACCTTTGGCCCTTTTTTTTTCAAAACGAGGCCTAGTGCTCAAACCATTTGTTTGAAAATGAGATTGATTTACATGTGAATGAAAACTTGTTATCACATGGGAGGATAAGCACTAGGCATCACTTTGAAAGAGGCCATAGGTAATTTAGAAAAGAGCTACTCTTGACTATTCTTTATTTACATAAATTTCAGCTTTCTTTTAGCTGAAAATGCCCAAAGTTTCCTCAGGACATTTTATCCTGAAACAATCACTTTAGATCATTTCACTCAACTCACATCAACCCTCTCTGGGTGAACTGAGCGATAAACATTTATTTCATTTATTTGTTATTCGTACACAAGGGCATAGGCACTTTCAGGTTTAAATCCAAACTGTGGATGAATTAAACTACTTTAAAATGCCTTTCACTGTATTCACTGGAAAAGCAGTTGCAAATCCTAGCTCCCTCAGCAGATAATTTGAATAGTTGGTCACATAATCTGAATGTGTGAGTGAGGAGAGTCAGGGGAAGATATATACATAGTCAAGCAACTTCACTCAAGTGACTTGACTCTGGTAATGACATCACATGATTCATTCCTGTTGTCAGAGTATCAGTAACTGTTTACCATTAAAGTCCTACTCAGAGCTACTCTCACTTGCTTGATCAGACAACACAACTTACTGTCACTGCTGACCTCAAAACCATTAACTGTGTGAAAAGAAATTACTCATTTTGGAGTAATTATATTTCTCTTCTAATAAAAACTTTTTCTTGCTTAGTTGCAAGTCGACCAGAGAACTATAGTGACTCTTTTGCAACCACACTGTACTTTACAGAGAAACTGGATAATATCTAATTCAAATCCTACATTCATCTCAATGATAATCTAGTTGTGGTTAAGAAGGGAACATATTTAGATTTGTTGCCCCTCAGAAAGGCATATCATACCTGTGATCTGGCTCACGGAAAAAAGAAACAGGTTTAACCCATTAACCCAATTGACATCATGGCATTATATCACTCAGTTATAGCATAAGATTAACTTACATTAACTTTAGCTCCAATCAATCCTTAAACCCCTGAGACTGACAAGTATCTAATTTCTCCCAACAGTATCCCCCCTGAATCTTAAATAAAGGAAATGATTGTGAGGTCAAGATACTCTGGATCATTAAGCAAATTCTCCTTGTGAGTAAATTTGTATAATAGGAAATGTACAGAGAGAAGTGTGGAGAACTTGGAAACTGATGTTAGGGTGCAAAGTGTTAACAGACAGATTTACCTAAATATCTAAATGAAGTTGTGTGTGTTTCGAAAGAGTAGTGAAAATTGCCCATGATGTAAGCTGGTGTTCAAGACAGAGAGATTGGCATGAAAATATAAAAGAAATGTATTTGTCCAGAATGGATAATGCAAACTGCCCATTAAACAGGCTTATATTCAAAACACTTGGGTTCTAATTTACAGCCATAGAATCATTTCCCTCTGTCTCTCAACCTTAAGTTTGAACGAGAGACAAGATTACACTTTGTAGATAAGGCACAATGCAGTGAAGTTATGGTGGATTTACCACTCTCTACAAGATATGGTACTACAGCACAACTGAAATTATCATATAATTTTAAGATTGGATGGACACGAACATTCCCCTCGGCATACCTTGAGTGTTTTACTAATCCCTCAGAAGATAGGAATAAGATGTAAATGACAGTTTTTTAAGTAGGAACGAAGGGGTAAGTGACTCGAGTACATCACCTTTCAGATTTCAAATGAAACAAAAGGCTACATTTGAAAAGATATAATGGACAGCTGAACACTTTGTGTGGATTATCATGATTAAGCCTTTTTTTCGCTATTTCCACGAAACATTTGCGTAACAATGAGGAAAGTAAGAAGGAGACATTTTAAAACGGTCTGGACGTATGATGCAGAGGAGGGGAGGGGGAGCAGGGGCTTCCCTTGCACGGGCGAGTACGATCGCATGCACGGGACGACCCTGTTACAAAAGACCTCACCCAGCCGCTGATATTTTCCCCACAAAATCGTTTTCTCTTGCATTTTATTTTCACAAACCCCGTGTTAGGAATAGGTCATTGAAGCGTTTTCTACAATTGTGAGATATGTTGCTCATCTGATGCGTAAACTAACTGGTCTCTAGCGCATTAGTAACTTATGGCATACAGCGTAGTTGCATTTTAAAAGCCAAGTAGGAACAGTATGTAGTGCGCAGATCAACTAACCTTTTCTGGGCTTATGTGGTTCCGTATGCTATATAATCTTGCGTTACACTGCATAAGTGTCAATTGTCCACCACCAAACCACAAGATATCCGATCAATTATCCAGGAAACAAAAAGTTGTTTACGTGTCCCGCCTACAAGCCGAGACCGAACTCCAAGCTCAGAGAGCCAGCGACTATTTGGGTCTGAGGTTTTCTCGCTAAATTTAAAATCCAAGATGGCGACATCGAATGCAATGAAATCGTGCGCTACAAAATTGACCAAAGCAGAAAAAAAGGCCCTAAGAAAGCAAACGAGACTAATTAATAGTCTTCGCAGAAATAATGCCGATCTTGCAACAGTTTCAGAATTGCCCACTCGTCATCTGATGGTTGGAAATGGAGGGTTCATGTGTGGCATAGACCGAAGGCAAATTTTCAGTTTGTTCCAGAAGTTTGGAAACATAGAACGGCTTCTAATGTTCCCTGGTAGATCCTTCTCGTTTATCACCTTTGAGCATGTCAGTGAATCAGTTAAGGCAATGGAAAAAGTGCACGGGCGAGTTTTAGACTGTCCTTCGGAGTTTCCGAGACCCGACGTTAGATTTTACTTGTCTTTTCTCACGAACGTACCCGATAATGTTTCCTTTGAAAAACAGGCCACACCATCAGGTCTTGTGTTAGTGGATGATTTTGTGACGGAGGTAGAAGAGGCGCAGTTAATTCAAGCGTTAGGATGGAGAAGTGGAGGGAGGGAGAATGAAATTCAAGGCACAGGTAGTTATGGTTTGATCAAGTTCACTAGCACCCTTTTATATTTCTGGGTGTAAGACGGCGCTGTGAGAATTTTTTTCGAAAGATATGACTCTGACCCCGGTTAGAGCTCAAGTCCTTACCTTCTAATGAATAGTCCACTCTATCAGGCCACAGCTTACCAACCCTCACTGATGGGGAAGGATAAAAACATACATCATATAAAATATTCCTACATATGTGTAGTTTACCTTCTCCACCTGTCCCTTTCTGTGCACCAAATTGGATGATAGCATCATAAGTTATGAAGAACTATCCCAGATTAGAAGCAAACTGTTTGTAATAAGATGTGATTGTTTAGTGCTTTTTCCATAGACACCTTTTGATGTTGATATGATTTACTTGTTCCCTTTTTGCTATTAGTACTGTTTGTGAAGAGACTGGCTTTATTTGTTTAAGTAGAAGTTTATAATTCTGCATTCTGAATGAGTTATACTAACTGCACATTTTTTTTTTGTGGGGACCAAATCAGTTGCAGATAGGATTGCCTGTATAGTCATAACCTTTCTTCTTCCTTCACAGCAAACCAACAACTTCGTCACAGAAGAGTCAAACATTTTGGGTATGAGTTCCTGTATGGATCAAGTAATGTCGACAAATCAAATCCTTTACCTGACGGAATTCCTAGTGTTTGTGATGAACTGTTGGATCGTGTTCAGGAGAAAGTTATTTGGAAACCAGATCAAATGACAGTTAATGAATACAAACCTGGCCATGGTATTCCACCTCACATTGACACTCACTCAGCTTTTGAGGATGGAATAGTTTCACTCAGCCTTGGATCACAGGTATTTGTTTGATAGCAGGTTTTCAATAAGATGGTTTGCAATAAGAGGCATGGCTCCTAATAGTTAATCTCTATGTTAATCATTTCTTTTTTCCAACCTTGTTTCCAGGCTGTCTCTTCTTCTTTGCCCCCAACCCCTCTCCCCTTAGGAATGAGGTTGTTGGTGGAGAAAGGATAGTGCAATAGTGTGAGTGCATGTCCTCTGACATTGTGGCCTGGGTTCTAT